CAATGCCTGAAGACCCTTTCCATGAAGAAATTTCTCCTCATGTCCAACCTGACCCTCCCCTGGTGCATCTTGAGGCCGTTTCCTCTTGTCCTGTCCCTTGCTCCCTCGGGGCCGGGCCCGACCCCCCCAGTGCCACCCCAGCTGCCCCCAGCCCCCGGGGTGCCCCCCCCTGCCCCTCTGCCCCCCATGATGCGGCCGCCGCTCCCCACGGAGGGGCCGGGCACCATCCCCCCTCCACCCCCCTCCAACTGAGGCCGCTCCTGGTCCCACTGGATTTGTCCCTTTCTATCCTCAGATCATGCCCCGTTCAGGGAACAGCTCTGTTTTGTATGAATCTGAATCCTGTAGGTTCATTAAAAGGTTTTCCATTTTCCTTCCTCTCTTTTTCCTGTGGTTTGGGTAAAAACACTGCCGTGGGTTCACGTTCTTTAACCCGTAGAGACAGAAAACATTCCCAGTCTGCTGATATTGGAAATCCTCCAAAGAGGAGGCAAAAGAGAGGGAATCTCAGGGCACCCCCTTTCCTGACTGGACATCTCCATCAACCTCAGCAGTGTTGGCCTGAGGTATCACCCTGACGAGTGTCCCATTATTTACCCCCATTAATCAGTTTTTATTCAACCAAAGCCCTTTATGGAGTTCATTCCCTGAGAGGGGCCATGGAAAGGCTCCTGTTACTGATATTGTCTTTAGAGACACCTTCCACTAGCCCAGGTTGCTCCAAGCCCTGTCCAGCCTGGCCTTGGACACTTCCAGGGATCCAGGGGCAGCCACAGCTGCTCTGGGAAACCTGTGCCAGGGCCTCCCCACCCTCTCAGCCAACAATTCCTTCCCAGTATCCCATCTAACCTGCCCTCTGCAGTGAGAAACCATTCCCCTTGTCCTGTCCCTCCATCCCTTGTCCCAAGTCCCTCTCCAGCTCTCCTGGAGCCCCTTTAGGCCCTGGAATTCCAGCTGTTCCAGTGAGGATTGGCATCTCATGGAGGGAAAATAATTTCCCTCTGAGGGAAATATGAAGAGTTCCAAGTCCCCAGGCTGCTGCTGCCTCTCATAGTCCTCCTTCCCAGGACGAAGCTCCTTCCAAGGCTGGCCTCTCTGAGCTGCGGGGTGTGAGGTACCAGCCGAGGGGGAGCTTTTCCAGCCAGGACGGAATGCTTTCCATACATTTACTTAGTTTCTGTCTATTATCTGTGTCTGTCCCCCTCCTCCCAGTCTGGCTCATCCCTCTCTCCCGGTGTTGGTGGGATGGGACGTGCCAGTCCCCGTGAGGATCCAAGCCCAGACATCCACCCTCCTTTAGAAAACATCCCAAGTCAAGGCCGTGCGTCCCCACGAGCGGGGGAACAGCTTTTCATTTTTTTTCCCGTTTCCAAAACGAGCTGCAAACCCAAAAATAGAACAAAGAAAGGTCCTTTGCAGCCTCCCCTAGGGCAGGACAGGCCCCGGGGCTGCCCACGGGAGGTGTGCTGGGCCACTCAAGGCCACCCGTGGTTAAAAGGGAGAGTCCTCCCTCCCTGGGAGAGTTTGGGATGCAAAGCTGGGAACAGCTGAGGTGGGACCATGAGAGCTAATCTCGGGGTGTTCCTGCTGTGCCTGGTGCTGCTCCCTCCCCTTGCAGCGCTGCCCAGGAAGGGGGAGAGGAATTCCCTGAGCCCAGAGGAGCTGGAAGCAGAGGGGAGAAATAGGGAAAATGCGAGTTTGCAGGAACCAGCCAGACCCAGCTGGGCGGGGAGACCCAGAAGGGCCACTCGCCTCTTCCCCGAGCCCGAGCCAGGAGCCAAATGCCCGCAGGGAATGGCCGAGGAGGGCCGGCCCCGCTCCAGCGCGCACCCCTGGCCGCTGGGCGGGCTGGAGGGGCCGGTGTGCAGGGTGAGGATGGAGCGGGACGGGGTCACCCCGGGCCACCTGGACGTGGTGGGGGTCCTCACCCACTACGAGAGCGGCTTCATCAAAGCGCTGCGGCGGCGCCGCGCCTGGGGCGGGAACGTCCTGCGGAGCTTCGGGCTGTGCCCGGCCCCGGAGGCGGCGGCGGCTCCGCATCCCCTGCAGCGCATCCACGGGCACGTGGTGGAGCCGGGCCCGGAGCGATTCCTCGTCCTGCACCTGGAGGAAGGTTGGTGGGACATCCCTGCGCCGGGGAGGAGCAGAGCGGGGAGGATGCAGGGCTTGGGATGGCGGGCGATGCTGTTTGCTGGCCCTAAGTCAGATTTAAACACAGAATTAAACCTGAGGGGTTGGATTCCCTTTTTCCCTGTAAAATTGGCACTTCGCTGTGTCTTTCTGGGTACATTTTTCAGGAGGTTTAGCAGAGATGATGGATTGAGCAACAGGGCACTGTCCCTGCCTCTGCCCCTGCCTGTGACCAACACCCGGGTGTCACATTCTTGGTGGGCTCTGCTCTGCTCTCACCAGTACGAGTGTTTCTCTGCCTCGATGATGTGGGTTTGGACACTGTCCCAACTCTAAGAGAGGGGAGGGTCGGACCTGGCTGGTCCCGCTGTGCCCTGAGCCCCCTCCCACACCGGGGGCTGTGGAGCTGCTCCTGCAGCTTCAGCCTTAAGGAAAAACCAGGAACACCTTCCCCTGTCCCATCCTGGGCATGAGCCCGGCGCTGGAGGGGGAGCACAACCCGCTGTTTTATCCGTAGCAAGAGAGTCAGGGGTGTTTCCCTCTTCCTGAAATCCCTTCCTCCCCTCCCGCGGTTTGGATTTGCAGCTGAACTCGCCAGTGCCGGGCAGTGGGGAAGTGGCCACAATGTCCCTGAGGCACTGGAGAGATTTCCATGGGGATCTGGGGGTGGCAGCCCCCTCTCTCCGGGTGCAGGATCTGCCTCCTGCCACCTCCCCGGGGCCAGGGACTGGGATTTGCCGTGTTTTTCCACCCTGTCCCTCCTGTCCCAGCTCCTCTGGTCCCTGCGTGGGAACGGGGCTCAGCCCTGAAGCCCCTTCCTCACCCCCCGGGGGCCCCGCGGTGCCGGAGGGGGATTCACCCCGTGTCTCCCCCGTTCCAGTGCAGTGGGAAGCGCAGGCGAAGCTGCGGTTCCAGCTGGTTTTCCAGGCGGAGCTGGGCCGGGCGCTGGGGGAGCTGCAGGCGGCCGCGATGCTCTTCTACCTGGGCCGGCCCGAGGGCTCCGGGCGCCCGCAGGAGCTGCTGGTCACGGGCCCGGGGCTGGCCAGGGACCAGGTGGGTCGGGGGGCCGGGCCAGGATGGGATTGGGGCGGGAGTGTCCCGGCCCTGCTGCCCAGCACCTTTGCCATCCCCTCCCAGTTCCTTTGCCACCCCCTGCATCTCCTTTGCTCCTCACAGCCCCTTTTCTACCCCTCCCAGTCCTGTTGCCATCCCTTCCCAGTCCATTCACCATCTTCTCCTAGTCCCTTTGTGATCTCCTCCCAGTCCGTCCACCATCCTTTCCCAGTCCCTTTGCCATCCTCTCCCAGTCCCTTTGCCAGCCTTTCCCAATCCATTCACAATCCCCTCACAGTTCTTTTGCCACTCCCTCCCAGTCCCTTCACCATCTCCTCCCAGTTCCTTCATGATCCCCTCCCAGTCCATTTGCCGGCCCTTCCCAGTCCCTTTGCCACCCCCTGCAACTCTTTTGCTCCTCACAGTCCCTTTTCCACCCCTCCCAGTCCTGTTGCCATCTCCTCCCAGTCCCGTTGCCACCCCCTCCCAGTCCATTCACCATCCTTTCTCAGACTCTTTGCCCCTCCTCCAGTCCCTTTGGCATCATCTCACAGTCCCTTTGCCAACCCTTCCAATCCCTTTGCCATCCCATCCCGGCATTCCCGCCCCGTCTCTCGCTCCCGCCGGCCGGGCCGTGCCTGCAGATGGAGCTCTTACCCCGTTCCCAGCTCCCGCAGGGCCGGAGGAGCTGCCCGGGGTGTCCAGCCCTGTCTGGAGGTCCCGGTCCCCGCCTGCCCTGGGGCTCTCTGCCCACCCGGGGGTCCCGTGGGCTCCCGGAGCAGCTCTGGGTGTGGGGGCGAAGCCCCCGTCCCATGTCGCTGCTCCCGGGGCCACCGCGGGCTGGGTGACCCCGAGCCCGCAGGGACCACAGGTGGGTGTGTGCCCGTGATGTCTGACCCACGTCCCCGGCTCTGCCGTGTCTCCCGCCCCCGCGCAGAGGCTCTGCCTGTCCAGGGACACCCAGTACCTGGTCCTGGGAGCCGCCGCCGGCTCCGTCACCCGCGGCCCGGAGCAGCTCCGCTTCTCGGCATCGCTGACGATCCGCGGCGCCGAGGGAGGTACGGACGGGGACCCGCCCGAGCGTCCCCACTCGGGCGTTTGGGGTCCTCTCCACCCCCGAGGGGCTGTGGGGACACGCAGCAGACCCCAGATCATCGTCCTCACCGCTCCTCGCCCCCCCAGGTGCCCCCCTGCCCCCCTCGGAGGTGCAGCAGCTCCTCTTCGGCTCCGATGACAAGTGTTTCACCCGCATGACCCCGGTGCTGTTGCTGCTGGCCAAGGCACGGCCGGGGGAGGAGGAGGAGGAGGCTTTGGCCCCTTCCTCCTACCTCTCTGCTGATGGGGTGGTGGACACGGCTCCGTACCCACAGCTCAGGTCCGTGGCCTTAGGAATGGGAAAATACAGGGACTGGGAGACAGGGGATGTGGGACCACGGCAGGAGGATGTGGAGACCTCCAGGGCACACGAGGACCCCGTGACCCTCTCTGTGTTCTCCTTGCAGCCCACCCCAGGCCGGGACCGAGGTGTTGCCGACCCCCACGGCCCCGAGCCAGGCCAACGCTTCATCCCCAGCTCCCGGGAGCAGCAGCCAATTCCTGGGAATGCTGACCCGCTTCATCCGGCAGGTCCTGAGCTCCTCCAGCGAGCTGCCCCCCCAGCCCAGCGCCCACCACTGGCTGGACTTCCAGGCGATGGAGACCCTCCCTCACCAGCTGCTCAACCTGTCGGGGGAGGCGGCGCTGGAGCGGCTGGTGCAGTCGGAGGAGCCCTCGGTGCTGCTGTTCCCGCAGGACAGCGGGGCCGTGCTGGAGCAGCTCCTGGGGCACTGGCAGCCCGAGGGCACCGTGCTGGAGCTGCTCACGGGCAAACTGCGGGGGGTCATCCAGGAGCTGGGGGACATCCCGGCTTTCCAGGCCAACACGGCGCTTTTCCAGCACCTCCTGAGCTTCTGCTACTTCCCGCGGGGCGGGGAGGAGGGCGAGGCCCCGGAGCGGGTGCCGGGCTCCAGGAAGCTGCACACGCTGCTGCTGCTGAAGGCGCTGCAGTCGGTGCGGGCGCGCTGGCAGGAGCGCAGGAAGGTGCAGCGGCAGCACCGCAGCGCTCGGCCCCCGGCCCACTGCCGCCTCCAGGAGCTCACCATCGACCTGCGCGACCGCAAGTTCATCGTCATGCCCACCGTGTA